GAAAAAAAAAAAAAAAAAAAAAAAAAAAAAAAAAAACGATATTACGACATTGTATAGTCGATAACTGGCTAACTAGCTAGCGTACTAGTATTCGCTACCACTATTGTTCTCTAACATCTTTTACTATGGTCTCTAGCACATCTAACACAAACATAAATATTGTGCGCGTATTACGAACTGTCGTCTCTTACCGAGAGAGAACTCGAAACGTATATGTAAATCACAAAGAAATAATTGTCATCGAACGCTTAAGTCTAAAGATATAATGTGTCGATAACGCTATCAGTCTATTCTCACAAAAATATCACCGTGACTGAAAGTATTTTTCGTCTATTAGACCGTCAGAGTTGAATATCATCGGCGCCGAACCAGCGAAACAGAATTATATTTTACGCAACGAATCGAACTGATCGTCGACGGTAAGAATTCGATTCTGACGATCTTGGAAGATCTCTCGACGATTTCTCCACGCGAATCAATATCATTTTTCTACGAAACTCAGAAGAAAACGTTCTAGTAGTAGCTTTCTAATATTATGAACGTCTATATAGCATATGATGCTATTATCAACTAAACGATTCTATACTACCGTGCTAGATTATTATCTTTGGTATACTAACGGGAAATGTTTGTTCCGACCGACCGACGGAATCGACGACAACTTTGCTCCTAGTCCGTTGTGACTTTGACAGTTTATCTTCGGAAGTAGCAAGTATGAAGTAGAAATAGGAACATTACGAGTTTAATATATGTATACGTACGAGAAAATTGGGATACCGGCGCATGCTGTCGACGCGAGAATTAATCTACGAATAGGCCCGTGAAAGTACGCGAATCGTTTGCGATCGTTAAGTTAAAAGACAAATTGAAAAAAAAAAAAAAGAAAAAAATAAAAGACAAAGAAAACGAATCGCGATAAGAGCAAATCGATCGTAAGAACAGCAAATTGAAAAAGATGTTTCTCGGTTTTGTCCCACTGGATGCGATTCTTCCTGAAACGACTCGAAGGGATTACGTACAGTCGCGGCGGCGTAATCATTTTTAACGCGTCGAGCAAAAAACGCGAGAACAATAGCCCAGAAAATATTTCATATTCTTAATTTTGACTCCCTTACCGTGTATAAACAGGCAGAAAAATAGATCGATTCCCTTCTAAACGAATAGATAGATAGAAATTCGGCTAGTTCGCGTCGATCATCGTCGTTTCACGGTGACTCGACGCGTTTCGTGGGCATCACATGTTATAATTCGGCAGAACGTTACACGAAGAAGAGCGTAACCGTGCGCCGCGCCTAAGTTGTTGGTCGCGGATCGTCGCTCGATGATCTTCGATGCGCGAATCGTCGTCGCCGTCGTCGTTGTCGTCGTCGTGATTGTTCCACAGCGACACGACCGGCCGGATTCGCCGATCGCGAGCCAATTTTACGAGAAGATGTCGATTCTTTTCGATTTCGCGATCGGTTCAGGGCAATCGATCATTACCGGTCATTACCGGTTCCAAACACGTCTGCTTCAAAGTCGCGGACTGATCCTCGAGACTTCGCTTCAGGCCCTCGATCGTTTGCATCAGCATTTGCCTTCGCAGTCGGGACAATCGATGCTGGAAGATCTGCGAATCCTGAGCGTTTACGGACGCGTTTGCGGCCAATCGTTCTTGCCGAAGCCTAGCCACTTTCTCTTTCAGAGATCTCCTCGAATCATCTGTGAACGACAAGGATGGCGTAGTAGATAGTTGTCTATACTTGTCACGACTTATCGTATGGACTGCTTACCGGTATCGTCGGTGGCGGTATCCCCGTCCGAATTTCTCAACGTGACGTGCTCCCCTAAAGTTTTTTGTATCCTGCCATAGGTAGCACTGCCTGCGTACACTTTCCTTTTGACCGGCTCGCTTTGCGGACAATAGGAGGATCCTTCTTTTATGGGACCCATATCGACTGACCTGCAAGGATAAAAAAGAGCGTTCTTTGAAACTGGTGCCTCTGACAAAATCGGCGGATACGGGGGAACGTGGGTGTCAAGGATGTGGCGTGTTCGACACGCTAACCTGAAAGTCATCAGAGGTGCTCGCCTCCTGACGTCGCATCTGTCCTCCGAGTCCGAGGAACTCGACGTTACTCCCTCCTCCTTGGTCACGGCGTCGAGCGACGATCTCGAGGTGCGAAGTTCTCTTCGACTTATTCCGGGGAAAGAATCTGTGTGCGATAAAAAGGTGCAGCGAGGCCTGTCGACGAGGTAAGGGCAAGTTCGAGAGCGCGTGGCGCACTGATCCGAACCGACGATACCGTTGCAATCGAACATTGTCACCGTGGATGGTGAATCGGTCGTGGACGCCATCATCGCGTTCACTCGCCGTCCATCGTAGTCGTCGGGATCCTGATTCTCGTAAACTCTCGGCCGAGAGCAACGAAGCATACTTTTATCGGGTGACTGCCGTTGGCTCATCGTCGCCGTCGCCTTTCTTCTCGAAACGAGAGGGGAGTCGATGGTGCATTTGATCGAGGTCGATTGGTACGTGGCTGCCGTGGCACCGGGCACCGGTGGGGAAACGTTTCGCTCGACGAATCGTCGCATCGGGGAACATGGTTGAACGAACTGCTGCCTCTTGGGACTGGTATGCTCGAGATCCTTGATGCTGCCACTCTGCAATTCCGGCTGCGAGTTTCTACTCTTGGAGAGGGCAAGTTCGATATTCAGTTCTGTATTTTTGATGAGTTCGACCCGTTTGTTCGTCAGTCCGTTGTGAAACTTTCGGGAGGGCGATGGTACGATGGGTAGGCTGGTCTGATTCTTTTGCATGTTCACCAGAATGTTCTCTGCCTCGAGGATCAATTCTCGATACTTTTTGTCCGCTTCCTTATCGGCCTCGATCAGAGCGATCTCGGAGGCGAACGTTGCCATATAGGTGTTGTTGTCGGTGGTAGTTAGCCGCCGCCTGACGAGGTTTCCGTTCACGTAGCTCACCTGTAGATCGAAAGAAAAAAAAAGAGGACCGATATATCGGTATAATCGGTATACGTAGCATAGGCCGATATACGTAGATAGGTAGAAATTAGAGCGCGCGCGCGTACCGAATTGGAACGTCTCTTGACGACATCGAGATCACCGGTGACGAGCCGGCCGCCGGCAGACGATCGTTCGTCGGTCGATCGGAGCGGTGACAAATTTTTGTTCACGTCGCAATTTTGTTTCTTGCGACGCAAACAAATCGGTGTACCACCGACGCTTCTGCTACCCTGATTGAAGCCCGAGTTTTTAAGCAGCATTCTCTCGACCAGCACGCGGTTCAAGTTTGCCGCCGTTTCTTCGTCATCGTCGTTGTTGTCGTCGTCGTCGCCGTCGCCGTCGCCGTCGCCGTCGCCGTTACGGTCGTTATTGCGACCAACGACTCCTCCTATTACGCTGGTATTCGGATCGCGTTTGTCGAAATTCGGTTTCCTGCGCTGCGAGCATCTCTTTTTCCGTTTTTCGCTCGACTGCTGCTGCTTCTCGTCCGTTGGTTGCTTCTTGTGTCGCGCTGTTTGCTTCTTCGCGGTATTCTTCGCGCTGATCGTTCTGCGAACAGAGGCGCGACGCGTTTCATCGCCGACAGGAAATAGAATTTGCGTATGCACATACCTCTGAAGCATCGCGGCCGCGGCCGCCGTCGCCGCGTCGTCCCTGTTCCTTCGCTTCATCAACGATTCTCGCAGTCTGCTGCTCCGTCGAGCGAGTTCGCCGGCGAACGCGAAATAGGTACAGTGTCCGGTGTTGGTGAAACGTCCGGTGCAATCGAGATTGTCGAGATCGAGGAACGAACCGTTGTCGATATAGTCGAAGTCATCGTTGCCGAGAGGATCGTTTTCATCGGCACCGTCTCTAACGGCGTCCAGATCGGACAGAGATTCGATGTAGTCCTCGCAATCGGTCGGATCGCTGTCCGACAAAATGTCCGTCTCCTTCTCGTAAACGTAACTTTCGTCGAATTTGCCCATCATCTCGTTCAAGGTGATATCGTCTTCGGATGATCTGGCGCTTCGCGTGATCGACGACGCGGACGAACCTTTTCTATTACCGTTTCCGTTTTCATTTTCCTTCTCATTCCCGTTCCTATTTCCGTCCTCGTTGTCGTTGCTGCTACTACCGCCGGTGCCGTTGCTACCGGCAACGCTGCTTACGTTGCTACCGCCGTCACTGCTGCTGCTGCTGCTGCTGCTGCTGCCGTTAGTGCTACTGCCGCTACTGCTGCTGCTACTGCTGCTGTTGCGTCTTTGCACGGATAAAGCTATCTTTGGCCGAATCTCCATGCCAGATGCTATTCTCCAATTTTGATTTATCCTACGAAAAAGATTTCGATTGGAAGAAAGATCGGCGATCGTGCCGTTTCGGCGGCGGAATTCCGCCGAGGCAAAGAAAACTCTGCTATATACTAACGGACTCCTTCCGGCGCTGAGACTCTCCTGTTTCGATTCTCTTCTGGCTCGTGCTACTCGCGCGCTGCTCGCGTTTACGTCGCTCGCGNNNGCGCTTCCAGACGACTCCGTGAGCTTCAGGCCAGAACCGCTGCTGGTATCGTCGATATTCAACCTCGATTTGAAGCCGGTGGTGGTGGTACTGGAGCCGGAAGAGTTGGCCGACAGCCACGGATTCGTCCGGATTCGCGAGCGTTCGCGCGGCGATTGAACGGTCGGTGAGAGCAATGGCGGCGGTATGGAGGAAGGCGGCGGTGGCTCGGTCAAATTGCTCCTCGAAGATTCCGCTGAGAAGGATTCCTCGGTCCGCCTCTCCTTCGGTAGCGCCGATCGTTGTACCGATAGATCCTCTTGCGGAAGACGATCGCCGATCTGTTTGGCAAAGCGTACCGCGTTACTTTGCAACGTCCGTCGAGTCGATATCTAAAAAGGACGAAGACGCGAGTCCGTTCCTCTCCGTTGAATCTGCCCTGCGTGACCAACGACAACGGATCCCGATCCGGATACCTACCTTACTCGTCCTCCCGTACTCGTTGCATCGAACCGCGTCTTTCCCCAACTTGTCCATCGTCGTGGTTGCCGCGGAGAACATCGCGACACAGCCAGAAACGGAAGGTTCGAC